AATGACGAAATCCGAATGACGAATGACGAACCTGCCGGCAGCGGCACGTCCCTCCGGCAGGTTCGTCATTCGTGCTTCGTCATTCAGAAGCTTCGAAATCACCTGCGTAGCCACCGAATTCCGTGCCCAACAGCCTCTCCGTCCATTACTTGCCGCAGTTTGTCGCCGAGACCGACCTCGCCGGCGCGACGGTGGTCGTCATCGACCTGTTGCGGGCGTCCACGACGATCTGCCAGGCTCTGGCTTCTGGGGCGCGGGACGTGACGGCATTTTTGGAGGTTGGCGACGTGGTCCGCGCGGTGGAGGGCCTGGACCGTGCCGAGCTGGTGCTGGCAGGCGAGCGGCATTGCACGCGGATTGAGGGGTTCGACTTGGGGAACTCGCCGGCGGAGTTCACGCCGGACGAGGTTTTTGACCGTCGCGTCTTCTTCACGACCACTAACGGCACTCGCGCTTTGCAGCACGGACGGCTGGCGGCGAAGGTCGTCGTCGGAGCGGCGGTGAACCTGTCGGCCGTGGTGGACGCCATCGCCACGGACGAGGCGGTGCATCTGCTTTGTGCGGGGACCAACGGTCACGTCACGCGCGAGGACCAGCTCGCCGCGGGGGCGATCGGTAGCGAGCTGCTAACCCGTGGCCCCCGTGAACTGAACGACCAAGCCCGCCAAGTGCTCGGCGAATGGCAAGAACTGCTCACCACCGCCCGGGCCTTCGGCCGCAAGCCCAGCGAGCAGTTCACGCTCGAACTTCACGACACGGCCGGCGCCAAGAACCTGCTGGCGATCGGCATGGAGGCCGACCTGGCAAGATGCGCAGCCATCGACGCCCTCGACGTCGTCCCGGTCTACAACCCGACCGACGGCCGCATCACCCCCTTTAGCTAAGTTGGCCCCCCTTTAGCCGAGTGGGCCCCCCTCTAGCCGGCGCGAACGCTCGGCTAGACTGGCGGGTCTCTGTAAGGAACCGCCGATGCACGCAGATAAACGCTGATCAGAAGAGAAGGCTCACTTTTCATTCGAATATCGGCGTTCATCCGCGTCCATCGGCGGTTTCAGCTCAAAAACCCTCACGCCTCAAACCTCACCCCTCACAAGCGAAGCGCCCTCCCATGGAAATGGAAAAGCTGGTCTCGCTCTGCCGCCGGCGCGGCATCCTCTTCCAGTCGAGCGAGATCTACGGCGGGCTCAACGGCTTCTGGGACTACGGCCCCTTGGGCGTGGAAATCAAACGCAACGTCAAAGAGGCGTGGTGGCGCGACATGGTCGCCGCACACGACGACCTGGCGACGCTCCCCGGCGCGCCGAGCCCCTACGAGATGACGGGCCTCGACTGCACGATCATCATGCACCCGCAGGTGTGGAAGTGCTCGGGCCACTTCGATTTGTTCGTCGATAAGATGGTCGATTGCCGCGAGACGAAGAAGCGCTACCGCTACGACCAGGTCCGCGGCCGCTGGGTCGAGGCGAAGGGCGAGAAGGTCTTCGTCACCACCGTCGCCGAGGACGAAGGCCCGGAGATCGAACGACGTGCACTGAAGCACTTCAAGATCCGCTCGAAGGACGCCGACCAGCTGGCGTGGGACGGCCCGCTGACGACGCTCGACAAGATCGACCTCGCCGACTTCCCGAAGGCGCTCGCGCCCGAGGCGAGCGAGCTCGGCACGTTCACCGATCCGCGGGACTTCAACCTGATGTTCCCGACGACGATCGGCGCGCTCGCCGGCGAAGAGGGCCGCGCGTTCCTCCGTCCCGAAACAGCGCAGGGCATCTTCGTCAACTTCAAGAACGTCATCGACAGTTCTCGAGTAAAGGTGCCGGTGGGCATTGCACAGATCGGCAAGTCTTTCCGCAACGAGATCACGCCACGGAACTTCACGTTCCGCTCGCGCGAGTTCGAGCAGATGGAGATCGAGTTCTTCTGCCACCCGAGCCAGTCTGCCGACTGGTACAAGTACTGGCGCGACCGCCGCATGAAGTGGTGGCAAGAGATCGGCCTCGCCGGCGACCGGCTGATCCTCCGCGATCACCACCCGGACGAGCTGTCGCACTACTCGACCGGCACGGCCGACATTGAGTACGCCTTCCCGTTCCTCCCCGAGGGCGAGTACGGCGAGCTCGAAGGCATCGCGCATCGCGGCGACTTCGACCTCCGCAGCCACATGGAAGGCAAGCTCGACCCCAACAGTTGCCCGCTGACGCTGCAGCTCGGCGAGGACGGCAAACCGGTCCACAAGGGCTCGGGCCGCGACCTGACGTACCGCGATGACATGACCAACGAACGATTCACGCCGCACGTGATCGAGCCCTCGGCGGGCGCCGACCGTGGTGTGCTCGCGCTGCTGTGCGAGGCGTACACNNGACACCGCGCCGGACGACAAGGGCGAGGACCAGACTCGCGTCGTGATGAAGTTCCACCCGCGGATCGCCCCGATCAAGGCGGCCGTCTTCCCGCTGGTGAAGAAGGACGGCATGCCCGAGGTGGCCCAGGACCTCTACCGGGCGATCAAGAAGAAGTTCCCCGCGTTCTACGACGAGAAGGGCGCCGTCGGCCGCCGTTACCGCCGCCAAGACGAAGCGGGCACGCCCTACTGCATCACGGTCGACGGCCAAACGCTGCAAGACAACACCGTCACGATGCGCGACCGCGACTCGCTCGAGCAGGTACGGCTGAAGCTCGACGACGTGGTCGCGGAGATCGAACGCCGCGTGACGGGGGAGTAGCCGCCGATAAACGCAGATAGACGCGGATGTCGCTTGGTGGGTTAAGTCAACTCACCAAGCGGCATCCGCGTTTATACGCGTCCATCGGCGGCTAACTTACTTTACCGCTGCCGTGAGGCGAGGTAGGCAAAGGTGATTTGGTCGCTGGCATAGCCGATTGTGGGTAGGCTGTAGGCGTCCACTTACTCGGAGACTCTTCTATGTCGCCATGTTTGCACTACTGCGTCTTTGCGTTGCTTTGCTTGCTCGACGGATCGGCGCACGCCGTCAACTTGGCGTTCATGCCGGGTGACGCCTACTTCATCTCGAATTTGACCGAAGCGTCCCTCGACGGCTTCGATGACGACAAGATCGTCCTGAAGTATCACTATGATTTTAGCTACGCAACTCTTGGTGGGTACGCCGGGTTCGAGCTTCTGCGTATCGAAGGCGACACGCAGAAGCTCTCAACGCGAGTTCGCGAGGCGTACCGATTGCTGAGGGAAGACATCCCACTCAAAAAAACGGTCTATGCCGATGGCAAAGAGCTAGAGAACAATGGTTTCACGCTATTAGTCTACAACCGCTCAATCGATTGGAGCGAAGGTAAGATCAATTTAGGGCTCAAGTACAACGAGCGCTGGATGAACTTGCCGGAAGAGGCTTTCGAGTTCGACGAAAAGCTGAACGAGAAGAGCTTCCGCGCAAAGGCGAAGCTTCGAGCGCACCGGTATTGTCCGCTATTGAAGATGGTCGATGCGATCGCCGAGGACTGGCGACGCGGCCCCGAGGTCGAAGGTCTGAAGGCTTCCGGACCTGCCGGGGTTGGTTGGGGTTGCTCGGGCCCTCCGATCGAGACGCCCGCCGTCGCGTTAGCGAATGACATACAAATTGTCATCGTCCCGGACTCGACCCTCAAACAGCTCTACCGAAAGAACCGCCGAGCTTACTTCTTGGCGATCGCCGACGACGGCGTCACGAAGTGGGGCTTCAATAAGGCCGGCGAGTTGAGGTCGGAGGCTTGGCCGCCCGCCGAAGCAACCGACGAAGACTAAACTCCTTCGATCAACAAAATTTAGTAGCCGCAGATAATCGCAGATAGACGCAGATGCCAATTGGCGAGTTGACTTAACTCACCAACACGCATCCGCGATCATCTGCGTCCATCGGCGGCTAACTCTTCTTACCGCAGCCGTGAGGCGAGGTGGTCGAGTTGACCGCGGAGGTTTCCTAGCAGCATCTCGGCGGGCGCTTCGCGCGCCAGGTCGGCGAAGTACGACGCGGCGGACGGACTGTGGCGGGCGGCGGACTCTTCGGTCGTGCGGCGGAGGCGGCGTAGCTCGTCGTGCATCAGCGACAGCTTGCCGGCGGCGTGGCGGGCCGCGTTCCACAGCGACGAGAGCAGCTGCAGCAGGCCGACGATCAACAGGCCCTGACCGCCGAGCGCCGCGGCGACCGCGGGATTCCAGAGGTCTTCTTGTCCACCGATAAGCGACCACGCGCCGAGGCCGATACCGAGGCCGATACAGGCGGCGCCCGTCGATGCGAGCAACCAGGCGAGCACCTGACCGCGCGTCGAGAACGCCGCTCGGGC